ACATAGATGTGGTGTGCTCTTAAAGATTTAAAAATTGTTTCAACTGTTCAGACCAGAAATGAGGGCATTTCTAAAGCACCTAGGTTATCACTTGGCATTGGCTAAGGAAGTGCTTGCCCTCAATAGTGGAGAGACTGAGAAAGCTCCATTCAGTTACCATGCTGAATGCCAGTTGGACAAAAGGCAGTTTAATCATGACAGTGCCACTTTCTGTTTTCTTTTTCTTTTTTTTTTTTTTTTTGAGATTTATTTTTATTTTTAAAGTCAGAGTTATACAGACAGAGAAAGAGAGGCAAAAAGAGAGAGAGAGGTCTTCCATCAGAAGGTTCACTCCACAAATGGTTGCAATGGCCGGAGCTGCTCCGATCTGAAGCCAGGAGCCAGGAGCTTCTTCTGGGGTCTCCCACATGGGTGCAGGGGCCCAAGGACTTGGGCCATCTTCTACTGCTTTCCCAGGCCATAGCAGAGAGCTGGATCAGAAGTGGAGCTGCCGAGACTAGAACCAGTGCCCATATGGGATGCCAGCACCGCAGGTGGCAGCTTTACCCGACAGTGTCACTTTCCAACCTTAGAGCAACTTGACGAAGACTGAGTTCATAAATCATTTATGAAATTGTACTTTTGATTTGAAATGGAAAAATATGCAGACATCCCTGGACTTTCTGTTCTGCTTGCATTCACTTAATATTTGCACAAACAAGAGTTTCTTTTATTTGAAACCTGGACATAAACACAAGTGTTGTGTTGTGAAATATTTATAGGAGAGTGTCTTTTTGAAACTTTTGGTCTATTGTAGAACAACTATGTTGCTGTTTGTATTGAGAGGGTGAAAGTGATGAGCAGCAACATGGAAGCTGCTAGTGTACCCTAAAACAATTCAAGGCAGTGGCACTGAATTATCCTAGTGGTCACTGCATTCTCTATGACCCTTACCGATGCCCACACACAGCCAGTTTCATTTAACAGGTCTGGTGAGGCAAGAGAGGTTATCAATGTTACTGAATGACAACGCTTGAGTATACAATATATAACTTCTTCAATCTGAATGATGAAATGGGAAGTGTGCATAAAAGACTTCCATTGGGGTGGGTGTTGTGGCCCAACGGGTTAAGCCACTGCTTGGAATGCCCATTTCCTATGTTGGAGCACAGTCCTGGCAGCTGCTCCTTGGACCCAGCTTCCTGCTAACACATCCTAGGAGGCAGCAGATGATGGTTCAGATGCCTGTGCCCCTGCCTCCCATGTGGGAGACCTGGGTTCGGTTCTTGGTTTCTGGTTTCTGCCTGGTCTAGCTCACGCTTTGTGGCCTTTTGGGAAGTCAGCCAGGAGATGGAAGATTTCTTGCTCTGTCTCTGTTCCGTTGCTCTGCCTTTCTCATAAATAAATACATGTTTAAAAAGATAATTAAAAGAAAAAAATCCCTCTAAGTAATGTCTGTGAGCTACAACTTAAAAACAAGACTTCTGTTGTACACGGAGGGGTGATGACTGCCTCAAGATGAAGCACTTGTGCAATTGTTTAACCACATTTTTTATGAAACTCCATTTTTTACTTGAAAAAAGTTGACCAACAGACAAACGATGATTTCTCAGAATTATCTGAGACATTTTATCAAAAACAAAATTAGCCTGTCACCTGGAAATAAAAACTGATAGCACTTTACTCAATCGTGAAGTTTGGCTTTCAAGTAAAAATCTCAGTTTTGAAAAGCTTGTATCTGCCACCATAAGCTTGATAGCTTCTCAAGACTTCTGTGATGAGACAGGTGCTACCGTTAAGAAGTGTGATGTTTGATGATGGATGACAAAGGCCAACACTGAGAATATCTTTCCAGACTTAGTGAGCCAATGTTTCCCAAACATCCAGTGCACCTTGTTGCAAAATCCTCATACGTGCTCAAAGACCTATATGAAAATACAAGACAAATGAATAGATTTTAATGTAAGTTAAATAGTTGAAAAGTTCATTGACAGAATGTTTAGATTCCAAATTACAACTTACCTTTAAAAACTACCACTTATCTAGTTTCTCTGCTGCATCAGAAAGCAGCCACAGCAATCTGAAAAGGCTGTGTAGTCCTCCTGTGCATGTCTGTCTCACAAGAGGCTGCAGAAGCAGGCCAGAGAATCCGGATTTCCTTTATGAAACCAATCACTAAAGAAGTGGGCAGAAATGCAGTACAGTGCCACGCTTCTTGTTTCATTTTATAATGTATACATACTTATTTTCCATAAAATGTAAATTTATGTTGACACATCATGGTTTCTTGTTCTAAATGAATTATGAAGATTTTAATTTTTTAATCTGAATTTCTTATACAGTAAATATCAGTAGATAAAACCCATAGGAACAAAACCTCTTTTTAGGCTTTCAGCGATCTCTTAGAGTACAAAAGTTTTTTTTTTTTTTTTTGACAGGCAGAATTAGACAGTGAGAGAGAGAGACAGAGAGAAAGGTCTTCCTTCCATTGGTTCACCCCCTCCAAATGGCTACTATGGCCGGTGCGTTGTGCTGATCCAAAGCTAGGAACCAGGTGCTTCTTCCTGGTCTTCCATGTGAGTGCAGGGCCCAAACACTTGGGCCATCCTCCACTGCCTTCCTGGGCCACAGCAGAGAGCTGGACTGGAAGAGACGAAACTGGGACAGAATCTGGCGCCCCAACCAGGACTAGAACCCCGAGTGCCAGCGCCGCAGATGGAGGATTAGCCTAGTGAGCCGCAGCGCCAGCCACAAAAGGGTTTTAACACCAAGCTGGAAGACCTTGTTTGGCCACAAGGAAGAGGTCTCATGGTGATATAGGAGATTCAGGAATATGAGAAAGGTTTTAAATGGCCAATGAGATTCTCTTTTTTTTTCAAAACTACAAAATATTTCAAAATATAACACTCTATTAGAGAATTCCTATTGGTTGACTTTTAGTTAAGCAGATTGTTACCAGTTTAGTCAAGGGAGGATAAACCTGTGTAATACTTGCTACTTACTGTCTGTTCTGTGAGCTAACAGTGTTAGGGATGCCAAGTACCCAGAATCGTTATTTGCATTTTGATGGGATCCTCAGGAGGTCTTTCTGCACAGAGAGAAATGAGAAGCCCTGATCAGGCACCTAGCACGGTGACTGCCTGCCATGTAATAGGTGCTCAACAAAAATTCCCTTTATTTTTTAAAAAGATTTATTTATTTATTTGAAAGTCAGAGTTACACAGAGACAGGAGAGGCAGAGAGAGAGAGAGAGAGAGAGAGAGAGAGAGAGAGAGAGAGGTCTTCCATCCAATGGTTCACTCCCCAGTTGGCCGCAACAGCAGGAATTGTACCCATCTGAAGCCAGGAGCCAGGAGCTTCTTCCAGGTCTCTCACGTGGGTGCAGGAGCCCAAGGACTTGGCCCATCTTCCACTGCTTTCCCAGGCCATAGCAGAGAGCTGGATTGGAAGAGGAGCAGCCGGGACTGGAACTGGTGCCTGTATGAGATGCTGATGCTTCAGGCCAGGGGAGTAACCCACTGTGCCACAGTGCCAGCCCCAAAATTCCCTTTATTTTGACTATGCATTTATTATTCTCTGGCTCATGGATATAGCTATTTCAGTCTTTTGAATGAAAGTTAGTGGTTTAGGGCCGGTGCTCTAAGAAGTGAATTACTGGGAGCTGAGAACTCTGGGTGTGAACGGAAGCACGAACTGGGGTTGAATGCCAGCCAGCCTTACGGAACGGAACGCTTTCCTAAGTGTAGAGGGGGAAACGTGAGAAGTTTCTTGAATTACAATGATTATGAAAACAACAGCAGTTTTGCTTCTGCTGCTTCTCAGGACTGTGGATAAGCCACAATGAAGATAGTGGTCAGTGATGTCAGGAGCAAGCCCAGCAGGGCACTGCAGCGTAGCAGGGTCTGTGTTAATTGAAAGCAGAGTTAATTTGGAATGGAGCAGATTTAAACTTCAAGTATGACTACCAAAAATAAACATCACCACTTTTTTTTTTCACTTGGATCTGTGTGATGGAGGGGCTGAGGCCAATCTCTTAAAGGACACAAAAGCCCCATCCATGACCCTAACCTGATGTCCTGTAGGGCTCAGTTCGCTGATTAGCTAAGGCACTCCTGCTGAACGCAGGTCATTCCAGAACTCTTCATTTCTTTGGGAGACACCAGCGTCTGGATCTGGACTCCCAAGTGCCTGCTCTAGAAGGCACTCCTGACAGAATGAGCTCATACACAAAAGGCAAGGAGCGGAGCCTGGCTTGGAAGCTTTCCTGGGGTCCGGGCAGTAGGTGTTCAGGGAGAGAAAGGAAAACCATGAAGACCGGAGCTGCTTAGACTCCCACTCAAGGATTTCTTCCCATGATTTCAGTTCTCACAGAAGACAGAAGGGACGCTATGGCTTCAGCTTTTTTGGTGCCATTTTACGGGAGCCACTTGACACCTGACGTAGAAATGTGGTTATTTTATGATACAGCAAAGCAGAAAGTGCACTGAACGGAGAGCCGGAGGAGGATTCTAGTTCCAGCACGGCTACCTACTAGCTGGGGATCTTCGGACAAGTGCATTCCCCCTTGAACCTCAGCATCCCTTAAGATGAAAGAGAAACCCAGCATTTGGACTTGAATAGCATTGTTCCCTTAGCTCTGCACCCTGTGAATTTTAAAAAATTATTTATTTATTTGAAAGGCAAAGTTACAGAGAGGCAGAGAGAGAGATTGATTGATCCTCCATCCGCTGGCTCACTTCCCAAATGGCTACAATGATTGGAGCTGGGCCCATCCAAAGCCAAGAGCCGGGAGCCTCCTCCCGGTCTCCCACGCTTGTGTAGTGGCCCAAGCTCTTGGGCCATCTTCTGCTGCTTTCTTTCCCAGGCCATAGCAGAGAGCTGGATCGGAAGTGGAGCAGCCAGGACTTGTATCAGAGCCCATATGGGACACAGGCACTGCAGGCAGCAGCTCCACCTGCTAGGCCACAGCACTGGCCCCTGCACCCTGTGACTTAATGACACCACTGGGTCATTGTATCCATTCTACTTTTTATTTGGTATTTGTTCATTTGATACATATGTACATATATAAAATTCTGTACATGGCAAAAATACAAAATATTTCTTTATAAGTTATGCAATTAAACCGCTACCTTTTTAAAGTTTAAAAACCATTGCAAAAAGGAGAAAAAGCACTCTAGACAGTCTTTTTTTAGTTATTCACAATAACCTTGGTATAAAATAGCCATACAACATGTGTACAAAATAGCATAAGTTCATAAAAGCTGTGCAAAGACAGCAAAGTTCGGTGAAAGAAAAAAAAAATCTAAGGCTTGTGGACCCCTCCATCCACACAGTGCCCCCTGTGCTTAGACACTTTGTAATCCCCTCCCCAGATATAAAATATTAGGGCACATCGTAGAGTCCGCTGTCCATATACTGTGGATGCAGGCATTAAAGAAAAGCTTTCACACACACATGCACACACGCACACACGCACACATACGAGCAAACAGACTGATCCTCCCCCACCCCCAAGTTTGAGAACTTACTCTCCCCCCTCCAAAAGCATTTGGGAAATGAGAACAAAGAGTCAATATTCACATTGTTCCTTAGACGGAGAGCCACAGGTCCTCAGGGCACTTCCTAAGGGGTTGGCTATGGGAAGGCCGGGGTCGGGGCTAGGGGTACCCCAGCCTGCAGCAGGGTAGGAGGCCCTTGCAGTGTAGGATAGGCAGGTGTAGGGACCCACGGCGTCAGGGGGGCTGGGCGTCAGTTATGCGCTTGGTGTAGCTCCGTGTGGGGCTGAGGATGCTGAAGACCATCAGGGCCTGGTTCAGAGGTAGTGCAGGCCATAGGGTGGAGGAACCCCTGGAACCGCAACGCACTGAGTTCCAAATGCTTTGCAATCAACAAGGTAGAATGGAGGGTTAAGTCTGAGACCAAGCCCGAGATTTAAGGAGGGAGGGCTGCTCCGAGGTGGTGCTGGGGCGGGCGCGGGAGAGGGGGGGGGCGGAATCGTCGCCCTGGACCCTGGACGTGGTGCAGGTACTGCGGTGGGGAGCCGCAGCATCCCCGCCGGGTCACAAAACGATTGGCGCAGACTGGATCACACCTGTTCAATGCCAAAGCACCTGAAACCAGTACCGGGCGCGCGCCGGTGCGGTCCTAGGACACGGTGATTTCCTCCTCGTCCTCGCCCTCCTCGTCCTCCTCGTCGGAGTCAGAGAAGTCCGAAGGTTTGCCGGGGCTGCTGGAGTGCGCGGGCGAGGGGGGCAGCGGCCCGTCGAGGCGCGCGTCCCGCAGGTGCCGAGGCTCTGGGGACGCGTGGAAGGCCAGGCGGTGCGGGGGGCTGCCCGGGGCCTCGTCTTCATCGTCGTCGTCCCCAGGGACCTTCTGGCCCACGTCGCTGAGGTCCGGGTGCGGGTTGAGCTTGGTGGGGAGGGTCTGCTCTCTGCAGCCGCCGCTGGACAGGAGTTCGCGCTCCTTGGAGTTCCGCCATTTCATGCGTCGGTTCTGGAACCAGATTTTCACCTGCGGGGCCCGGAGAAGCCACTGTGAGTGCTGGGGTCTTGGGGAAGGGTGCGGGACGGCTCGGCGGGACTGTGGAGGTGGGGGGCGTCTTTCCCCGTTCGCTGTCTCCGCACCCCAGCACTCGCGCAGCCCTGACTCCCCCCTCCCGCCCCTCCACCCTCTGGCACCTAGGCTGGTGAGCCCGGGAGAGGGAAGCGGGCTGTCCCTAGGAGCCTCGAAGAAGCTAGCGGGGGCATTTCCGCCCCCGTTAGGCCTCGGTTTCCCCATCTGTACAATGGGATGACTTCAGAGACACCCCCCTCCCCGCAGTGGCAGACGCGAGGCGCGGGGGTGGAAGGGTGCGGGGTAGGGCGGACACGGCCGTCACCTGCGAGTCCTTCAAGCCCAGCTTGGCCGCCAGCTTCTTGCGGTCAGGCTTGCTGATGTACTTCTGCTTCTGGAACATCTTCTCCAGCGCCTTGCGCTGAACGTCGGAGAACACGGCGCGACGCAGCATGCCCCGGCGTGGTTTGCCGCGGGCAGCCAGCGGCCACGAGAAGGTCCCGGGGATGGGCACGACGCTCGAGGACGCTACAGGGGGGCAGAGAGGTGGCCGCTGAGTGGGCGGTCTCCCGCCGAGACCCGGTGGCGTCCGTCCTCCACCGCGGCTTTCCCAGTCTTTCTCGCTCCCGCTCAGATCCCTTCATCTCTTTAAAGCACCACCCCCCCCCCCCCCTTTCTCCCGCTGGAGAACCTGCAAGACCAAATGGCTCTTTCCGCCCAAATGACTTTTTCTTTCAACCGTGCAAACCCGGATTAGGTGGGAGCACGAAGCCGCAGCCAACAATCCCCACCGTAGTCCATTTCGTTGTTCCGTGCAACGGTTTTAGAGAAACAAACCCGCGTACGCCGGCCAAAACAGCCGCAAATAAAAAGTAAATTACAGGAAAATTAAGCAGCTGAGGCCACTGAGTTTTCGCGCCCCACCCCCACCCCCAAAACGTCTATCACCTGGGCGGCTTTTTGCACTTTTGATGAAAATTTGATGGAGGAGAATTCACTTTCGATTCCTCTTTTTATATTAATCTTTCTTCCCCTCCCCCACAAAACATAAAGAATTCGGCCGAATACATGAAAAGTGGCAGCTAATTAGCACACTGACCGCTTCCCAATGGGTATTGGCATGATAAAAAGGGGGGAGAGTTTCTCTTTAAGAGAGAGGGGGGGAAAAAACCTAAAAAGATACAGAGCCTCTAATGAAGCGTGAATGGTAATTGTGTAGTAATGAACTAACAGAAAAAGACTGAGAACAAGCAGCGAAAGCCCTATATTACTGGGACAAAAGAGATTTACACTTTCAAACTAAACACAACTGCAGGCCAGGACTATTGGGAGAATACTGATGGCAGAGGCTTCTCTTCCCCGAATCATTTTCATTAAATGGACATGAAAAGCTATTTATAAAGCTCGGGTTGTTTTTGTCAGAGCATTGAGATGAGGTAGAAAGGGAGCAAATTCCATTAGCAGCAGCAGCATGAATGGTGGAGTGCGGGGTGGGGGTAGGGATTGGTGAATTTGCTCTCCTTGACAAAAAAAAAAATCAATTGCTTATTTCCCTCCTGATATTCGGAGTGCTGTCCTGGGCTCCCCACATCCCCTCCCCTGCCATCCCTGCCAGCATCTCTTCTCTGTCTAGGGGCTCCCCCCTTTTCCTAGTCCGTGTGTGTTGTGACTAGCTACAGAGTTTGAGTCATCCTTGGAGTCACCAGTGAGATTCCAGGATGGGAACTTGGTGGAAAGCTGTGGTCTTCCCCTTCAGGCTGGGGCCCACATGCGCATTTCCCTAGGGCTGTTGGTGATTTTACCAGCTGAATGGTGGTGAAACGGATACAGTGGTAGAGGGAGGGAGGGTCTGAGACGCTGTCGGAAAGAGAAGGTTGGGGTTGGGGAAGGATCTCGCTCCTCTCCCCCTTGGACGACCCCAGGCATCCCACACAAGCGGGCACCCCATGTGGTCTTGTGAAAAGCCCCAAGCCTTGAATGAGAAATTAGCCCCGGCTGGTAGGTGTCTCTGGGCAGCGTGGAGGGCCGAGGGCCGGTCTGTGTGTGGCTGCCCGGAGGAGCTGACCAATTGGTCATGGTGCTGAAACCTTTGTGGGGAATCGTGAGCAAGTGCACTGCCTCTGTGGGAAAACGGCGGCGTGAAGGGATGCCAACAGTTCCTCGCCGGGAAGGGAACCGCCTCAAACTGGGACCATGACAATTCCTGCTAATTTGTAGAGCAGGGAATTGGTGCACAGTGTCAAGCAGTCACTGCTTGTGCTAAATAGGGCATCAAATTGGCGCGACGGATTCGTGAATGTTGTACGCCTTGCAACCTCTGAACCACATCGTAACCCCGAGCAGTGGACGGAGAAATACGGCTTGGGGGCAAGGGAGCGCCGCCCGGCCTCGCGCGAGGAGACGGGGCGAGACCTACCTGGGAAATAGGACGATCTGATGAAGGGCTGGAAGGAGCCCTCGAAGTAGGGAAAGGCGAACGTCTTGGGAGGGACGCTCTGGAGCAAGGCGGGGGATGCTTCTGGGGGAGAGGGAGCGACAAAAGGAATTCGATCACGTATTTAAGTATTACAAAACCCATTGCACGTGGGACAAGATGAACCCTTCCGCTGGTTCCAGGTGTGAGCCTTCACGTATTAAAGTACAGTACGTGTTTCCAACGTGGTCTCTTTCTGTTCGGAGCTTTCTTTCCCCGCCCCAAGGAATCTGCTGCGCCGCCTCTCCCACTCTGCATCCTAGGCTAAGGAGATAGGACTAGAGCAGGGGAAAAACTCGCAGCTCCATAATACCAAACTGTTGCAAGAAATAGTTCATCGTGGCGTTTTTCTTAAAAAAAAAAAAATTGTCTTCAGGGAGCAGAAGCGCAGATGCGCAGGGAGGTGCGCTCAGCTTTGCAGCCGCGCGAGAGCACTGCGCGCGCTCAAGTCCATTCCGGGCGAGCCGCGGGACCTGAGACTCCTGTTGCCCGACGTGGGGTCTCGGAGTTCGTGCGCACGTGTGTAGATGGTTGTGTTAGTACCCGCTCTGCAAAGGAAACTGAGGCCAGAGCCCTCGGCACAGGCCTGGCCGCTGAATTGACCCCTCAGCACTCTGCCCCTACTTACCTGTTCTGGGTGCCGAGGAGAGGATGGCGTTCACCCCAAACTTCAGAAACGTGGGCTCGCTGGCAGGGGAGAGGGCCGTCTGTGGAGAGCTGCCCCGCCGGCTGCCGGGACCCGGGGAGCCCAGGTCAGAAGCCCCCGTGTCGGTGAGGGCTGCGGGAGCCCCCTGCCTGGGCGGCGATACGCTGGTTGCGGGCACGCTGCGGGGCAGGTAGGCTGGGGGCCGGCTGATGCGAATCAGATCCTCCACCAGGAAGCTGGAGTGGCCAGAAAATGCGGACTGCAGGGACTGGGGCAGGGTCAAGGTGGGCGTGGGCCGCAGGAGGTTTGGGTACCCGGCGGGGGGCGCGAGGAGGCCCGGGAACATCATGGTAGACGCGGGGCGGGCGGAATAACCCTTCTTCCAGTGGCCGGAGGGTAAACGCCTGGCTTCCCGCCCCTCCCGCCCCCGCAGTGCCCTCTCTGGGGCTTAGCGAACGTCCCTAAGTCACGATCCCACTTGGGCGTCGGCGAGTCTTCCGTGGTCTTCCCGTCGAGGTGATGGTTTTATAGCGGCCCGCCCGCCAAAGCGCTTTGAAAAGTGACAGCTCTGACAATGAAGTTCAACAAAGTTCTCCACTCGAGCTTCATTCGCTGGCGGCTCTGGGCGCTCTGATTGGCGCAGAGGTGCAATTTATGATTGGATTAGTCTTCATAAGCATGGCCCGCACAATGGGCCGGCAACAAAGACCCGCGCATCCATTCTGCTTACCGACCGCCTCTTTGCAATACAGTGCGCCCCCAAAGCTCTCACTGGGGGTTTTTGTTCCGAAGCAACGCCCGGGCTAATTAAATGCCTATTTAGAAGTTTCAGATGACATCTTGCCTCATAGAAAAGGAATTATTTAAAGAACGCACTAAATTTATTTGCAGCTCTCCTGCTGAGCCTGGAAAATAAATCAATAAATATTCATAGAAATACATCTCCAGGCTCTCAGTAAGATCACCCTCCCCCACCTTGGAAAATTTCAAGTCAGTGAACACGAAAATGGACTAGCCCTATGAGTTACTCCAGACCAAGCACAAAGCAGATGTGAGTGCAGGGTTAAATCAATGTTTTGGGACTATTGGATGTGTGTGTTCTCAAGGGTAGGGGGAGGGATTAATTCGGGTTATTTCATCTTGGGAGACTGGTGGAGTTTGAGAGCTGGGGACCCTGAGTGGTAAAACAAGTTGCAAACTTTCAACAACTGGGAAAATGATTTTCAGCGAAGTTTCTCCAGTCCCTGCATGGATGGATTCACAGTTCCTGGGAGGGAGGAGGAGAGTCCCTGCGCAGAGAGCAGCACCAATACTCAGGCATTCCAAGGGCTTCTAGTGCAGGAAGCTACCCCGGGCACGGTGACCCAACGCTGGGAAGGCCAGCTGGCCCTTCCCCAACGTCAAGGAGGTCTGGGCAGTGTGAGCTGAAGCTCACAGCCTGTAGGTTTTAAGCAGTAGCAGGTCCAGATGTCTCTAGAGACAGCACTTAACGTGGCTGAGGTTTCACAGCTTCTTAATTAAGGGCAACATAGAAACACGTGCAAACTGGGAGGAGCGTGCAGCTGCAAGGAAGCTGGCCCACACAAGCAAGGTCTCCCCTTAATCTGGAGCCTCAAACCAGATCTTGGGGACAGTCTCTTCGCTGTCCTCTGGGCTGGGGCTGCGGTGGCGCTGAGCCTGGGTCCCTCCTTTCTCTCTGTGCTTGGCGAGATAACAGATGTGTTAAATGTCCCATTCATTTCTTTAGTGTGGCTGAACCTCCCCAAAGAGAAGTGTGCAGCCCCGCCAGGCCGCCCTGATCCTATTAACCATGCACTAACTGTCACCTTCAGCTGGTTTTCCTTTTTGCTTTTTAACACAAAGCTTTCTCAAAAATCTTATTAACCAGCTTTATTTCTCTCGATGGTTTTGTTCAGGGCGTTTTGTGTTGATGATCTCCATGTCGCTGCTTTAACCATTCAATAAAAGTGCATCTGCGATTTATATCACATTAAACCAGAAACGGAGCCTGCTAAAGCTCTCCCTAGATTCAAATTAAAAAGTTATTTGGGGCCGGGTGCTGGAGGCAAATGAATGCTTAGACGATGTAAGTATGGAGTTCCTGAGCCCCAGACTGCTGATGGAGGAGTCCTGGGCATCAGGCAGAGACGGCAGGCGAAAACTCAGAAAGCAGCAGCTTTTAAATAAGTGGCCATTTAAATCCGGGAAATGTATTGCTAGGGTTAATTGGAAGCCCCTGGTAAGGGGAAAGGGAGAATTGTGGAAATTCAAAAGTTCCCCCTTTTGAAGTCTTGCAGTAAAGTAGTTGAGAAGAGTCTGCGCGAGCTGAGCACCTGGCTCGAATCTTGCAGAGACAAAGTTTTTATTTCAATGGGACTAGCACTCTTCCTCCTCCCTCGCGCCTCCGCCTCTGCTTCCCCTCCCACTCAGAAGGGGTTGCTGGCGGCTCTGGTCAAGGATGTGCCTGTGCAGTGTTCCGGAGACTCTGGAGTAGAGCCTGTATCTGCAGAAATCAGCTTTTGGGTTTTGTTGGGGGTGGGAGGCAGAAAAGCCCGGAAGCCAGCCTGAGGCCTTCCCAGTGGCCCCTCCCCGGCTGGGATATTTCCCTGGGTGTCCTCGTGCAGTTACCACCTTGTTCGTCGAGGGCGCCATGCCCTCACCTTCACACACACACACACACACACACACACACACGTTGTGCCTCAGTCCGGACTCACTGCTGCTCCTTTCTATGCTTTTTAAAAGACACCCCTGACGCTTTTTGGAAGGTGGGTCAGCCCCTCGCTGCGATCCACGTGGAGCCCGCTGCCTGCAGCGAGTCCCCACAACCCCCCGAAGAATTCTCTGAGGCGTCCAAGAGGAAAAAGTAAGGGCGGGGTGGGGGGTGGGGGAGCAAGGGCTGGCCGCCCGTGAAAAGGCCAAATAAATCCAAAGGAAGCAAGAAATCAGACGAAAGGATCTTACTTTAAGTGATCTCCTTGAACGCGTCTTTTCAGACTCGGCGAGCGCCTACGGGGCTGCGCGGCGCGGCGGCTGCGCCTAAGACCTGTGACTAATGCCGTTTGACCCCAGCCCGAGGGGTCTCTGCGTCCTGCCAGTCATTGTAATGTCGTTATCTTCAAGTCTATTTCGGAGAAATCACGCGCGCGCTTTATCCCAAGGCGGCGCTTTCAGGGGGAAAAGAGAGAGAATTGGAAGCCCTGGCTTGGGGGTTCAGGCCCTTGCCTGCGCCGCTGCTCGCTGGGGGAGGCCGCAACAGATCCAGCCCAGGCCAAAGCGGCCACAGCGTCCCTGGCACGGTAGGAAAGGCTCTCAGAAGCCGTCCTGGCAGGTTCTTTCCTCCCCAGCCAGGGCAGAGAGGGTGTATTCCAGCCCCGCTACCGGCATCCTCGCCGCAGAGCAGAGCGCGCGAGTACGCGCGGGCCACCAAGCGAGGTGACAAATGCTGCAAGGTGGCGCATGGCACGAGCTTCCTGGCTCTTGTAAAAGTTGGCGAGTGTCCGTTTCCGGCAGGTTGGGACCCTAAGACTGCCCTGTGCAGGTGTGGGACCCGGAGGCTGCCCCGACACCCGAGCCACCGTGCCAGAATGGCGCGATGACGCCGGGCGGCAGGAAAAGCGCGCACCGCCTGGCGCCCGGGTTCTCCCGGGTGGGGGAGGAGGGCGCGAGGCTGGGGCTGAAAGAGCCTTCATACGGCCGCGGCCGACCGCAGCCCCAGTCGGCGAGCCTCTCTATTAAGACAACTCTAAGGGGTTCACCTTTAGAATAGGCCACAAGGAGCTACCGGCCGCCCCGGCCCTTTCTTGCGTTCCCCCCTCACTCCCAGTCCCTTTCACACTCACTCCCCTCTTTTTCCTTGAAAATCCTTCTATTGTGCCAATCAAGCAGATGGTCTGCAGGAAATATAGCTTGGCCTCGCTGACCGAAACTAATTTTAATAGCTTTCCAAGCCTGACACGTTTGTTTTGCTCTTACAAAATAGCCCCCAAAACAGCTGGCAAGGATGAATTAAACCCATTAAAGACACATTTATAAGAAATTATATTCACATAGATTGCCGGAACCCCTTGTGCAGCCTTAGAGAGGAGATGAGCGCATTTAAATGAAAATGTCGCCCACCGCTCCCCTCCTTAAGGTAGCCTGAAAGTCTCAAAACATTTTACTAAATAGATTAACTTGACTATTGTCTCGCATCACATTTATCAGCTTCATTAAGTGAATAGCTGAACAAATATATTACGTATGCATGAAAAGCTCTTTTTTCAGGAGCCTCATTGTATCCTCAGCCCTGACAGGTGGTTAACTGTGTGTTGTGTTTTTTTGTGGGTTTTTTGTGTTTTCTTCTTCTTCTTCTTTTTTTTTAACCCAAAGAAAGAATCACTGTAGAGCGGCACGCAGAGTGGCTTGGCGGCTCCCCCCCCCCCCCCCCCCAGCCCAGGGATATTAACTCCACGAGTGTTGGGCCAAGAATCATCAAAATTGGATTGTGGTGATCTGGGCCTTGAATGCTCTTCCTTTCCCATCATTCCTGCCCCACCCTCTTGTCTGGGAAGTTCATTTCGCATTGCTTCCTTTAAGAGCTAATGAGTCCCTCCCTCTCTCCTTGACAATCAATTGCCTGTACTTTTCCTTGCTTAACCAGCTTTTTCCCAGACCGGCAAAGTCAGTGTTCTTTTAACTCACATTTGGATCCATTTCACTTTCCAGCCTATGTTCAGGGAAAGCCCTTGTTTCCTGGAGCCTCAGTGTCCCTGTGGGTAAAGCCAGGGGCTACCGTACAGAGCTCTGTAAGAGTTCTCAGATCTGACCTGCTAAGGCTTACATCCTAGGCTTGGTGGCCTCACGGGGACCTCTGCAGCCGCCAGCTTCTGGGTCCTGGATGATGACCCAAAGGAGTATTTCCAGGTCCTAGGGGTGCACGCTTGAAGTGGGCTGGACTCTTGGTGCAGATACTTGGCCCTGGGAGGACCATATGGACAGATGTAGATTTTGCTCCTCTGCCCTCGGGGTACCCAGATGAAGAGAGCAAGAATCCTAAGGTTTCCAGGCCTTTGCATGCCACCCCACATCCCTCCCCGCAGGAATGCCACCTTGCACCTTGCCTGATCCTCTCAGGACCTGGTCTGCATACCGTAAGGTGTGGCAGGACACCAAGTCAAAAACAGGAGGAGATCCTCCTTGGCTCACTCCCCGGATCCTGGGCCTCCTGCTTCAGCTTCTCCAAGTATCCCTTGTGAAGCCACAACGAGCCCCTTCCACGCTGTGTCCCTCCCTTCCCTCACCCTGTGCCCCTTCCCCTAGCCCCAAGCTGGAACTATCGATGTCCTGTCCTGGACTCCTTCTGGTTAAGGAGTCTTGGGTGAAGGGGAACGTGGCTGGCTGGCACTGGGTGGGACACAGTACAGGATCTTTCCGTAGGCATGAAGGGACTGCTTTTGTCAGTGCGCAGGTGGGATGAAATCCATTCTGCCTTCTCTTTGCAGTTGCTAAGGACTCTGGGATGGGGAACAGATGCCTTTGAGCAAGCCTGGTTTTGTGTTGAATTGGAGGTGGTCCCTGAGGAGGAGCTGAGGAGGGACTAGAGGACTGGGAGGCAGATCCTACCACCAGGCATACACACATCTCCAGACCAGAAGACTCCGTCAAGACCAGTCTTGCTTTCGTTAAATGGATGTGAGAAGCCAGTGCTTCAAAGTTTATGCCAACCTTTTCTTTTCTTAAATATTATTT